GATCCTATTTAATCTGTTTTCAATGAGAAAAATCACAATTTTTTCTAGCAAATTATCAAGGGAATGCTTGCTTATACCTCTGCAAGAAGAGAAAGTCCATATTCCAGAGTGTCCTGACACCAGTTTTAGCAACATGCTTGTGAGACCTGTGAAAAACAGCTAATAATAAAAGTATAATTTCAATAAGGAGCGATGTAAGTTTGAGAGAAACTTGAGCAGGGTCAGCTGTTATAGCTTATAAATATAATGGAATATTACAGGCTTCCATGATAGAAAATAGAAAACAGTAACGTTAGTTCATCAGGGCTAGGCCTCATTCAACCCCAGATAATTTTCCTCTCTATTTTCTGAGGCTGGACGCTCTTTGGGTTTGGAAAAGGAGGTATGCCTTCCTAGGAAGGAGATGCCAATAAGCCACCTAATTATAAAAAGTATTTCTTTATTCGGTCTTTTATAGTATCTTTAAAAATTGCTTTGCTAAAGTAGGAACTAAGATGCAAAGATGCCTAAGATTGATAAGAAATTATCATCTAACAAGCATGTAACTACAGAGAGATTTTCTCCAGTCTGCTGGGTGACTTCAAGTAATAATGGCTCATGAAGGATGGAGGGGATTAGGAATAACACTCCAAATGAATGGAAGATGGAACAAAATTTTCTAACCTACAATATCAGTTGAGTCCTGAAATGTTCAGCAAACATGTGTTGAGGACTTATTAGGTACCAGATATTTTACTGTTGCAGAATACAAAGAATAATAGTTTATGGTTGGGCTTTCCTTGAAGACTGGTTTCTCAGTCTCAACACTATTGGCATTTGGGCCAGATATTTCTTTCTAGTGGAAGGCTGTCCTGTGCATTGTAAAACGTTTAGCAGCATCCCAGGCCTTTTCCAGTAAATGTTAATAGCACCCCCCTGTAAGTTGTGACAAAGGAAACTGTCTCCAGACATTGCCAAATGTTCCCTGGAGGGCATACTCACTCTCAGTTGAAAACCATTGCCATTAAAAAGTTAAATCAAGTGGGAGACATTGAGGGTAAACATAATTTAAATAATGCAAAAAGTGTGGTGAATGGGAAATACAAACATGCCTTTAGAAACATAGAAGAGAGATGGGGTGCAGAGAAGGTTATTGGAGAAAGAGTCTGAATTGATTTTGAAGTACAGGTGAGATTTATCTTCTTTACAGGTGATAGTACATATAGAAAGAAATAGAATGAAACCTGAAATCAGAGTGACTGGGTTCAAACCCAAGCTCCACTGTTATTAGTTGGGTGAATTTGGACAAGTTACTTTCCCCCCCTAAAATTCTCTTGAGTATCTCCTTCAAAGGTTATTGCACACATGGAATTAGGGAACCACATGACATATTTAGCTCAATGCCCACATGTAATAAGCACTTAACAGATACTGAATACTAGTATTATTATCATCATTGTTGTTATTAATAACCTTGTAGATAGTCTCTCAAAAGGTTTATTCTAGAAGGATGTAGTTAAAGTCAGCAACTGTTATAATCAAGCCAAAATTGTGCAGATATCAAGTCCCCAAGCTCAGAGTTACACAATCCTATTTAGGAACATGCCTGCATGTATGTTTAGGTTTCCTTTTTTTTCCTTTCTCCTTTAATTTTTATTTTGAAATTGTGGGGTACAATTTGGGGTTAGGTATGCAAATGTTCATTGTGCAGTTGCCCTTATTGATGAGGTGTTCCCTGCTTCCCCAGGCAGATATCGACTACTGTCAAACTCAGCTACCCATTCCCCACTTCCCTCCCCGCTCCCGCTACTAGTTGCATGAATCTTCCTACAGGAAAGTCATTTAGAAAGGAGCATTTAGCCGGGCTTGGTGGCTCAGCCTGTAATCCCAAGCCTTTGGGAGGCTGAGGTGAGTAGATTGCCCGAGCCCGCAGGTTCGAGACCCGCCTGGGCAACTTGGCGAGACCTCATCTCTACAATAAATAAAAAATTAGCCAGGCGTGGTAGCGCGCGCCTGTAGTTCCAGCTACTTGGAATGCTGAGGCGGAAGGATCGCTGGAGCTCAGTAGGTTAGGCTGAGGTGGCCGGGAGCGGCCACTGCACTCCAGTCTGGGCGATAGAGTGAGACTCCAATTCAAAAAAAGAAAGGAGCATTTGCCACAGAATTCAGTTGATAATGTTGGCTATAGGAAAGAATCCTGTGAGAGTTACTGGAGAGGTTTTACTTGGCAGTTTAAAAGAAATGCTTTCTTGTTCTTGTTGCACACTCTTTAAATAGTGGGATTAAAGAAGCTTCTAAGGAATCTGAAAATTGCTAAATAGGGCCTGAAGGCAAAATTGGAAGGAGAAATGTAGACTCACCAAGTACATTTACTAAGTGAGACAACCATATGTTGCCTTCAGGACATCTATAATCACTGAACCAGACAAAATTCACCTTGGACTCAGTCACCCTAAAAAAACTTTCTGAGTTATCTCTGGTTTTGTTGCTTTTAGCTGAAATGTGGACAATTACTATTTAGGAGACCAAGGAGATATGTCTCCCATCTATGAGTAAGATTAATAAATTACAATGCGACTACACTAGCAAATGCATTATGAATTGCAGGGTGAATTACACTGCACAGAATATTTGGGGAAACCTTTTTTTTTTTGAGTCGAGGTCTCACTCTGTTGCATAGGCTGGAGTGCAGTCGCATGATCATGGCTCACTGCAGCCTCGACCTCCTGGGCTCAGGCAATCCTTCTGTTTCAGCCTCCCAAGTAGCTGGGACTACAAATGTGCACCATTACACTTGGCAAATTTTTTTAAAAATTAAAATCTGAGTAATATGAAAAATCTAGAACCATAAACAAGTGTCATGGTACTTTACATGTAAATGTCTTAATATATATGCCCTTTGGACTAGAGGACTTTCAGGACAAGCGAACTACTCCTTTTCACTGTTTAGTTATATTTTTCTTAGATAGACTATAATTTTACTACTGTCTATAGTAGCAAAGTAGGTGAATTATTTTCCAATAAATACCATGCATCTATTAAATATGGCTGTTCCATTACAGAGATAATTTTTTTGTTTTGTTTTGTTTTCACACAGTTTATTCAGAAACTTAAAAGAAAAGGTGGACATTTCCCCCTAAAATCATCCTCTGCCACTTCCCAACAGAGACTTCCGCTGCTCCAGTCACTTCTCTCTGCCGGTGCTCACCACATACACTTGCGAAACACACGAGGTGAAGACCTCGATGATTTGGTAATACAAAGAAACTACCAAGTTACACAAAAGAATCTCACTTCCTTTTCATTAACAGGCTATAGATGCAAGATTAAGGGGCAAACACATTACCTTCCTCCAGAGTTAAGACTTCCCTGTCTTCTTTTTTCCTTCCTCTAAGATGTCAAAACTCAAAAGCAGTTTCACTAACAACTCTAACTCTGATATTCCATTTTTCATTCCAGAATGGCTAAACTAGGATACTTTCCTTCCAAAGCTGATCTTCACAACCTCAAGACTGGCAGAAAGCAGTCTCCCAGTCACAGCTTGGCCATGATGCCCTGCAACAGGCAAAGTTCCCACACAGGTGCAAAGGATGCTTTCAAGGGTTATCAAAACCTTAAAAAAAGTAATAATGCATTAATATGGAGCCTTCACGTTCTTCTGACAAAATTCCTCTATAGGTGGTGGCAGCTGTGAAAGAGAAGGCACTTTGTGCTAAAATTCCAAGGGCCTCTCATGAGAGAACACCACAGCCCGAGCTGCAGCAACCCTTTAGGGTGGGGAGGAATATTCTCCAGGAAGGCACCTGCAAAGGAAAAATGTGTAGTCATGATTCCAAGGCAAAATGGCTACTTAAAGTTGGGAGAGAAGAAATACCAAGAGAAGACAAAATGCAGTTGCACCAGGACTAAGGAGTGACCTTTTACAAGGGCTTGTCAGCTGCCTCTGTACTTTCTACTGAAAGTGAAGGCTGGTTCCTTCACCCTTCCCAGGAGGTTCTGGTGACCTTGTAGGAACAGGAGCAGCACCTTAGCCAATAGGGTCCCAGGTCTCCTGCCTCTGCCTGGGCTCTCCTTGTTATAGTTCAGAAATAAACTGATTTCCTGTTGGCAGCACCTGCAGATATTGCTGGTCCACACATCATCTGTCTGGGGTTTTCTGACAACAGCTGTGAAGAAAAGGTGAGGGCTTTCCACATGATCCGGGATTCCTTGGCAATACCCAATGGCTTTTTGGGCCTTCTAAGAGCAAGGGATCAAGCTGGCATCCCCTTATCGACACTCAGAAAAGTATGAGTATTTAAGCAGCATGAGTATTTAAGATGGGGGGAGGGAGAAGATTCATCAATGAATTGAGGGTCTTTATCTTAGTACCATAAATAAAGTGCACCATGAATGAAGGCTATAAAAAGCCACTTGCTGGAGGCTGAGGGACAGGGAGAAACTACCATCACTACCCCTCAGGATGGTGTGTCACTTCCTTCAGCCAGATGCTGGCTGCTGAGACTTTCATTATTGCTTTATTTCCTTAGTACTAGGGAACTTTTACTATAAAGAAAAAGAAATACTTGGTGGGCCTGGCAGACCACATGTTACAGAATCACAGGAACTGGCTGATATTCAGTGAGTAGTATGTGTTATAATCTCAGTGATGGATGATGGTAGCTTTTCCCCTTATTCTGATGAACTTAGGAAAATTCAGGTAGTTCTTTTTGTTGTTGTTGTTGTTTTGAGTTGGTGTCTTACTCTGTCGCCTAGACTGGAGTGCCGTGGCCGCTCCCGGCCACCGCAGCCTCGACCTGCTGGGCTCCGGCGATCCTTCCGCCTCAGCCTTCCGAGTAGCGGGAATTACAGGCGCGCGCTACCACGCCTGGCTGATTTCTTGATTTATTGTAGAGATGAGGTCTCACTGCCCAGGCGGGTCTCGAACCCGCAGGCTCAGGCAATCCACTGACCTCAGCCTCCCAAAGGTGCAGGATCACAGGCTGAGCCACCGAGCCCGGCTCAGGTTCTTAAAACACCTAACCAAATTGGCTCATGATGCTTCTGAAGAAGCAGGATAGCTTTATGGATGATGTAATAGAAGTGGCTGTCGTCATTCTGTCGGCTTTCAGATGCATGATGGAAGAAAATCCACTTACTATCACATTTCAGGAGATTTTACTATGACATATTGGTGGGTTCCATAAACTTCTTGGAAGCACTTTCAAGAGTGTGAGAGGAAAACCATGATGTAGTAAAGAGAACTCCACTCCACTTAAGATTCCATGACAAGGGCACTATTTCGTTGCTTTCATGTAGGAAGGTATCGCCCCTCTCGCAGCCAGGCCCTCAAAGCGCTTGTATGTGTAATTGATGAAGACCCAATCTTTGTTCTTGTAGTCAGTCTCAGGGTGATTACTTGTGGCCACTGTTGGCTTAAGAATATCAGATTCTGGAAACTTATCGAAGTTTGAGGTATCATCAATGCTTTTGATTTCAATAGATATTGCAGCAGGTCTCTCTCTGATATCCTCCCAGTCAACACCTTCAAAAAAAGAGTTACTTTTCATTTCCTCAATTCCAGGGGCTCCAATTCTATGTTCTCAATCACAGCAGAATCTCAAAATTAGATCCTTGGCTTTCTCAGAGATGGGGACTTCTGGAGGAAAAGTCAACGTCTCCTTCTAGTTCATCACCTTCTTATATGTCTCTTGAGGGGTCTCAGAACAAAAAGGTGGATAGCCAATGAGCATCTCATACATGATTACCCCAAGTGACCACCAATCGCAGAGCTTGTTGTACCCGGTCTGCATGACGATCTCAGGAGCAATGTTGTCAGGAGTGCCTACTGTGGAGAAGGCTAGCTGACGTCTATTTCTTTTCCAGGTTTCTGCTTTCCCTTTGGAATTCATGTTCTGAAAAGTGAAGTCGCTAGGCAGGCTGTGGTTCAGATTCCTATAAAATTCTGTCCTATGTGCTTTTTTCAATCCTGTACAAAGGCCAAAGTCAGAAAGTTTCACATGGCCCTTGCTGTCCAGGAGAAGGTTGTCTGGTTTGATGTCTCTGTGGATGAATCCAAGTTGGTGAATGGAGTCTATGGCTAATACTGTTTCTGCTATATAAAACTGAGTCTCCTTTTCTGTCAGAGTGTCTTTTTTCATCAACAAGGTCATCATGTCCCCTCCAGGCAGGAACTCCATGATTAAGTAGAGGTTTAGCTTATCCTGAAAACTATAGAACATTTTCACAACCCACAAACTGTCTGCCTCCGCTAGAATGTCTCGCTCTGCACGAATGTGGCCAACCTGCTGCTCTTTCTCAAGCATATCTGCTTTACGGAGTATTTTCATTGCATACACGTGCCCTGTATCTTTCTTCTGAACAAGCCGTACCTCACCAAATGCTCCTCTGCCTATTACTTTTAAGGATTCAAAATCTTCCAATCCAAGTCTTGTTCTCTTCAAACGAAGAAACTCTGTTTCCTTCTGGGCATGTGACAACCTTCTGAGTCGTTTCTCTTCATCAAAATTTTAGGCCTTCTTCTTCCATCACCTTTTCTAACCTCTTTTGTCTCATTTCTCCTTCTTCATGCTGAGCAATAAGGTTGCTATAAAAATTCTCCAGTGTTACTCTGGTCATTGTCACCCTTTCCTTTGTGTGATTACTCATGGACGAGCAAGGTGTTGAGCCTGTCATTGCCATGGAAGACCCCGGGGCAGGCAGGGCTGGGGGCGGCGGGCAGCCTCAGACGCCCAGCTGGCTGGTGGTCTCGACGTGCAGACAGGCGAAGCCCCAGCGCCAGCAACCGGGGAGCCAGGGGAGGGGAGGGGACGTGTGAGAGGCTCTGTGATAGGGGCCGAGGAACAGTAGCAGGTGAGGACAGCAGGAAGCGCCCCAACTGACCAAAAGACGGCAGAGCGGAGGAGCCCAGGCAGGACGGACCTCGCAGCGAAGGGGGGCTTGGCCTAATTTTTATTTTTATTACATTTTTTATTTATTTATTTTTTATTTTAAAGATGTGGGGTACAATTCAGGATTAAGTATACAAGTGGTCATCATACAAGTTTGGGCCTCCCTTTGGTCCCCACTTTGCCTGGTTTGAGATCAGGTACCCTCACTGATGTTGTGTACCCCTCCCCAACCCCAGCAGTATCCCGCTACTGCCAATCCTTTTCTTATAGTATTATGGTAAATGTTCAGGGTCTACTTATGAATGAAGGAGACATCATTTTTATTGGTTTGAATATGATTCCCATTGGTGACATCTGGAGGTCAATGACTTAAAGATTGGATATTGCTGTGGGTCACTCCTGTTTATCTCATGGTCCAATTAAGCTCTTAGAAGAACTACAAAAGGAGACACACATTAGTTAAATGCTTGGATATTAACCATATTATTCTATGATGTGGCAAGCAGAATTACCCCAAAATAACCCTGGAAGATTACAAGTGGATACACCCAAATTCAACTTTTTCTGATTAGTTTCCCAAGGGAGTGATGACTTCCTATCCCCAACTTCCTGTAAGCTCAAGTTCCCCAGGTTTCCTAGAAAACTCCATATATAGCTTTCACCTCAAATCTGGACTTCCCTGCTTTGGCCTGTACTATTCAATATGGTAGATACATATAGCTGTCAAGCACTTGAAATGAAACGAGTCTAAATGAAGACTGCTGACAGTTGTCAACCACACACTGTATTTCAAAGACTTTGCATGAAAAATGTAAACCATCTCAAAAATTAAATTTTTTATACGCTGAAATGATAATATTTTGGATGTATTGACTTAAATAAAATTAATTTTAGCTTTTTTTGTTTTTAATGTAGCTAACTAGAAGATTTAAAATCATGTTTGAGACTTGTGTTAAATTTCTATTGATTAGTTCTGCTTTAAGTAGTCTGTTTATTTTCTACTGATAATATTGCTCTCACCTAATTCTAGAAGAATAAGAGCAATAGAGGGTCATTATCCTGAATACTGATCCACACTGCATGTTCAACAGAAAACCTGTTCAACAGAGTGTAGGTGAGTGAGATTCATGCTTTCTCCTGTATTTACTTTTCTGGATCAGCTTACTCCTTTCAATGTTTCCTGTATGTTCTCTAAATAGTAGACCTAGAGTAGTCTTTATTCTATGGCTAGTTTAGCTCTACTACTAAGGCATGACCCCTCTGGAACCAACTGAATACTTTGAATGCTCAAAAGCGTTTCTCCATACTGACTGGTTAGAACCAGAATGCCTTTCAGCCCTGCCTGAGCCTTGAAATTGTTTAGCTGGATCTTGATAGCTTTTTGCCTCATCTCATCCACGCTCAGCTTGTTATTTAGTAGTACATGCAAGGGATCCCTATGCAGATTTCTGGATCTTTTCTTTTCTGCATATCTTCCTTCCCTATGGTAGTTTGTCCCACAAAATCCAGCTCCTTCACTCTCCTTGAATTCTGATTTAGAGTTCCTCTATTCAGTGAGACATTCATGCTCTGTCTGGTTAAAGCATTCCTATGTTGCAGCCGTAAAAATGATTCCATATGGAAAGCTTGGGCAAGACTAGGTTCTGCCTCATTTGTTTTTCTTTTCACAGTCCTGTGCTGCCTTTATTCCAATCACTGGAAACAGTTGTTTTGTATAATTTGCTCCGTTTTCTAGTTGTTTTATAGTGCAGGGCAAGTCTAGTACCTAATTCATCATGGTAGACGCAGAAGTTCAATTAAGAATTTCAATTTAATATTTCTTTGTCAATTGTTAGTTATCTACCCTTTTATTGATCTTTAGTAGTTGTCATACATTTTGTAAAATGCAAGTTTGACTTATAAAGTGTGGAATAAATTTAATGTTGTTTTTTTTGTTGTTGTTTCTTTCTTTTTTTTTTTTTGAGTTGGAGTCTCACTCTGTCGCCCAGATGGAGTGCAGTGGCCGCTCCGGGCCACCGCAGCCTCGACCTGCTGGGCTCCGGCGATCCTTCCGCCTCAGCCTTCCGAGTAGCTGGACTTACAGGCGCGCACTACCATGCCCGGCTGATTTTTTGATTTATTGTAGAGATGAGGTCTTGCTGCCCAGGTGAGTCTCGAACCCGTGGGCTCAGGCAATCCACTCACCTCAGCCTCCCAAAGGCGCGGGATTACAGGCTGAGCCACCGGGAAATTTAATGTTTTATCACTTCCTAGACAATGCAAGAAACTTAGAAAATTTTATTTAGTCTTCTCTAGCCTTTTGTGCTAGTTCTGTCCTGTGTTTATAATACACACACACACAATTTGACTTCAAGACATCGTTTTTGATTAATATTCTAAACAAGTTAAATTTAGATTTTTCTACATATTTATTGCTTTGTTTTCATTTCTTTTGTTATTTTAATGCTTTCATTTATGTCTATCATTCTTCCATCTGAAGTCCCCCATGCTGGTATTTCTTTTAGTATAGGTCTGTTGGAAAGTAATTCTCTCAGATTTTATTTATTTGAACATGTTTTTACTTTACCTTAATTTTAAAAATTCATTCATTTATTTACTTTTGAGACAGAGTCTCACTCTGTCACCGGACTGGAGTGCAGTGGCATGATCCCAGTCCACTGCAACCTCTACCTCCTGGGCTCAAGTAACCCCTCGAGTTACCGGAACTACTCATGCCACCACATCTGGCTAAGTTTTGTAGTTTTTGTAGAGATAGAGGTGTCACTATGTTGCCCAGGCTTGTCTCAAACTCCTGGGCCCAAGCAATTCTTTTGCCTCAGCTTCCCAAAGTGCTGGGATTACAGGTATGAGCCACCACGCCCAGGCTTATTTCACTTTAATTTTTTGAGTAAACTTTTGGCTGGATAGAGAATTCTAGTTTGGCAGTTATTTTTTTAAAACATTTTGCGGATTTTTTTGGCTTCTACATTTTGTTGTTGTTGAGAAGTCAGCTTTCAATCTTATTGTTGATTCTTTGCAGGTAATGCTTCCTTTTCTCTCTTACTGTTTTAAAGATTGTCTATTTACCTTTTATTTTCTACAGTTTTGCTATGGTATGTCTGGGTGTGGTTTTCAAGTATTTATCCTACTTGAGAATTACAGTGTGTCTTACATCTGCGACTTAATATTTTTCATGAGCATAGAAAACTCTTCTTGATCATTAGCTCTTGAAATGTTGCTTTACTCCATGCCTCACTCCTCTTGTTGAGACTTCAAGGTACATTAGACATTTTTACAATTCCCAAATATTTCTCAAGCAATATTCTATATTTTTAATCTTTTTTTCTTTTTCTTCTTAAGTCCAGGTGTTTTCTTCTGACTTATATAGATTTCTATTGTGAATTACAATTTGTAGAAATAATTTGATGCTTGGAATGATGGTTTCTTTCTCCTGAGATAAACTACTTTTGCATCTAGCAGGCAGTTAGTGTAGGATAGATCATGTCATTCTAAACAAAGATTGGGTTGATTTGAAGCTGGAGATTAGTTTTTGTGAACGCTTTAGTCAGAGGTTGTCCTTTGATCTCAACTGAAGATTTTCTTTTGGTCTTTAAGTTTTCCCAGTAGAATGCCTTTCATATTTTGACCTGTTGTCTGTTCTCCTTGGCAGGCCCTGGACATAATTTTGTCCCTTTTCCTCTGTGAAACTTCTTGAGTCCCCTGCTAAGCTTCTTGACTTCTCAGTTGAAGCTCTCAAACTAGCTAATGCCTGCAGGGTAAAAGAGGTTTCCAACATTTGCCTCACCTCTCTGAGCTCCTGTTTTTCCCTGGAATCATGTTCTCTTAGCTTGTTGTTGCTTTGGTAGTTCTCCAATGCCTTCGGAGAGATGACTTTTATATTTATTCCTGCTTTTCAGGTTATTTTTGGTGAGTCTATCAGTTTTAAACAGCTAGTTCATCACTGACTGGAAAAGGAGGCCTCTTGTGGTTTGGAATTAGATGGGTAAAGTATAGAACCTGTCTTCTCCATCCAGAAAGTTTGTTCTATGAGGGCTGCATTCTTGTTCTTCATTTCTACTAGATTGTTACCCCTTGTTCAGATAGGCCATACTTTGTCTTGCCTCAAACCCATTGCATTTGCATCTGCTGCTTCCTCTACCTGGAATACTCCCGTTGTTTGTCTTTATTTAACAAACCCACACTGCAGGTCTTAGCTTAAGTATCATTTAAGTATCATTTCACATGGAAGATTTCCTTTACTTCCCGGACTAGGCTAGGGTCTCCTGAATTTTTATTTTGTAGTGATTTGCACACTTAGCATTATGAAATGAATTATAATCTAATGTCTAACTTACCCAGATAGGAATTCGGTCTGCTTCCCCAGGTTGTGCTAGCACAATGCCAGTCACACAATAGATGCTCCAAAAATAAATGTAATCTGCACTGGCATGCTTTAAGCTAGATTACTAGTTCCTAAAATACATTTTATAAAAAAAATTCTAAGATAAAATAGCTTTTGGAAAAACTTCATAGTATAACTGCCTCTGGAAAATCACAATGGACATTAACATATTTTAAAATACGAGAAATTTCATATTAAATAAAGCTGTTTAACTATGCTTATTCCTGAATTTGACAGTTAAAAAAAATAAGCATTAATTCTACAGACTACACTTCAAAAATCATTTGGCTAAGTACTTTCTAGAAATGGAAACTCAGAGAGGTTTTTAGTTTTAAGAAAAATAAACTTCATTTCAGAATGAGTCAATACATTGCACATTCTGGATGAGCAAAATCAAAATTAAAGAGGCTTAAAGGACAACATCATTCCAACCATATTTGCAGGACTGGAGTTCAGCTGACATGGACAAAATATTTCCTGCCTATAGGTTACTACAATCTATTGAGCTCCACAGATAGCACAAAACAGAGAGGTTTTAAGCACTGATCTCAAGGGACTGTCATCACAGA